CTCTCTCTCTCTCTCTCTCTCTGTGTGTGTGTGTGTGTGCGCGCGCGTGCGCAAATGTGCACCTGTATCTGTCCTGCTTACTGGCTTGCTCTCCATGACTTGCCTTCCTTCCTTCCTTCCTTCCTTTACCATCGTTCCTTCCTTCCTTCCTTCCTTCCTTCCTTCTTCCCTCCCTCCCTCCCTTTCCTTCCTTTCCCTTCCCTTCCCTCCCCCTTTCTTTCTTTCCTTCCTTCCTTTTTTCTTTCTTTCTTTCTTTGAGACAGCACCACCCACATCGGCTAGACACTCCCCACCAATCCCTATTTGATAACTATAGCTTGTGTCAAGTAAACTGGTTAGCACAATTCATATTTTAATTTAAAATTTATTGATCTCATAACACTGTATTTTATTCTATAAATGTGTTTTTGTTTTCATATAGAACATATAATTTAGGCTGGGCATGGTGGCTCATAGCTATAATTTCAGCACTTGGGAGACTGAGGCAGGTAAATTGCTGTCTTATTTAAGGTTACTATTGCTGTGAAGAGACACCATTGACCATGGCAACACTTATAAAGGAAAAACATTTAATGGGTTGGTTTGCTTACAGTTCAGAGGTTTAGTCCATTATCATCAGGGCAGGAAGTAAGGCAGCATGAAGGCAGACATGGTGCTAGAGCTGAGAGTCCTTATATCTTGATCCAAAGGCAACAGGAAGCTATCTGAGACACTGGGTATGGCTTGAGCGTATGAAACCTAAAGCCTGCCTCTACAGTGACACATTTCCTCCAACAAGGGCACAGTTACTCCAACAAATCCACACCTCTTAATAATGCCACTCCCTTTGGGGGCCATTTTCTTTCAAATCACCACAGTTGCTCTAAATTTAAGTTCAGTATAATCTAAAATGTGAATTCAAGGCTAGCCTAGGCTACATGAGACTCTGGAAAAAATAAGTTCACACTTCACACTGTTTGGATGGATGTTAATAAGAGAAATATTCATGCTGAGATTTTTATCAAATATTTTCTTCATTAAAAGTGGAAATTTAATTTACTCGATTTCAAGAACTCTGATCTAGGCTTTAGTGAGGGCAAATCACCCTCTTACCCACTCTGTTTAGCTTTCTTTGCTTGGAAAGTTAAGAGTTCATAGATACAATCATCATAGGTAAAGGGGAAATGTACCAAGGAGGATCTGGGACCATCTGGCCATTTGGTTTACATAGAAAGGGTTACAGCAACATCGGCAATACAGAGGTGCCATATCTAGTTCACCTCACAAGCAACAGGACTTCCACACAGGGATTCAGAGGCAAAACAAAAACAAGCCATGGCTGCAAGGCTGAGCAATTACACTCTGTAAATAGATCTTGAAAATCTACAGAGCAAGAAGCAGCTGGGCAAGGCCTTGGGATCTTGGTCTAAACCACCTTTCCTTTTATAGCCAGCATCTACAGTTTTGCTTTTTTGATCACTGTTGAGGATTACCATTTGTTGGGGGCATCACCCTCTAAGTATGAAAGTGTCACCCTACAATCTCACCACCAGTAAGTTCCTGGGGTGGGAACCATATCTATTTTCTTTTCTGTATGACAATTGTTCTTTCCAGGTCATACAATCTCCTGACTCTAATAGTTCCTGGAAAATGGTTTCTGGAACTCTCTCTCACCTTCACACTGTCCTACTTAAAACAGTGTTGTTCCTCAAGGACTCCAGTGCATCTACCTGACATTTTAGTTCCAGCTCAGCCTGACAGTGAGCAATGACTCTTTCCCAAGAGTAAGAGTGTAAAAAAATAACCACAAATACGAAAAATCAACTACAGTACATCACGGACACTGATGCCTGCTATTACTACGTCCTGCAGGTGGCACTTCTGTAGTTTCATCTGCTCAGTAAGATCACTTGCATGCTCCTGCTCCTAAAGTGAGGTCCTGCTCTGTCTTATTTTCCTTATCTTTAAAATCTATCACCTTGGTGGATACAATCTTCCCATTTCATGTAACTCTGGTGAGAATGCCTGTGATTAGAGAATTTAACCATTCTTTAGACACCAACGTTGTTGCTTGCATTTTTGCCTTCCTCCATTTTTTTTTTTTAAATTTAAAAGCATTTCACATCTCACCTCACATGACAGATGACAGACAGAAGACATAAGTTTAGTAATTATTTTAATTAAAAAATTTTAGCAATTATTGCCAATTATATTGTTCTGGGTAGACAGGTGGATTTTAATGATAGTAACTTCTTATATATAAATACACAGAAATTTGAAGGAATGTGCAAACTGCATGGTAGCTTATAATTCACATTTACAAATATAGGACTTTGTAAACACACAGGCTTAAAGTTTGCTTCAATCACCACCCAGCTATAAGACCTGGGACAAACCACTCTATTTTCTTACTTTTTAATGACCTGTCAATGAAGAGTCAATTGGCTGCATGCAAACATATCTTGAAAAATACCATGTACTTGTAAGTATGAACTATTGTAGGAGGTGATTACTGGCCCTCTGTTAGAGACACACTACTCTGCTTCATTAAAGTCATTATTGTTTTTACAAAAGGGTTCTTATAAAGGAGTCCTAAAGGCAGGGTCTTGACTTTTAGGACAGGATACTATACAAAAATAGCTAACAGTTACAAGCTGTACTTAGTAACTCAAAAGTAAAACAACTTAATTCTCAACAGAGTAAAAAGGTGATAATGCCAAGATTTTGTAAATATACTAACTGAGGAAGATGATTAAAATAAAGCAAAAATCCACAATGGCTTAGGTGATTTAACATACAAGGGATAAGTATGATAACTTGGCAACCAACATTTATATAAATAAAGCCTAAAAAAAGATAATTATTAAGAATAAAATTTCTCATAAATTCTAAAAACAATCAAAATTTGATATTTTGTCTCAGAAGAATAACTTTAAAATATCACAAAGGATGTTATTCACATTCTATGGCACAGCCATAACTCAGGTCTCAGTCCAAACTTTTAGAGTCTTATTGCTTTAATAAAAGCAAAATGACTATTGCTAAGGCCTTGCAATCTGAAAGACAACCTAGACAATATTTATAACAATAAGAGGGTGGAAGGGAAAATGGAAGAGGCGGGGAGAGAAAAAGAGACAGAGACAGAGAGACATGAGAGGAGACCGAAGCAAACAGAAAGATACAATGACTTGTATCCTAATTAGGATATCTGGCAAACTGTCTCCATTAGCACACCGGTAATGTTTAGTTAACATGATTTCTGGAACCTGGAAGATGAGGAAAACAATCTGCAAATATGTCTTGTTGACTCAAATACTGGGTTATTCATAGTCTTATGTTCATGTCTCAGAAACCTGCCACCCTGTGGCTGTTCTAAGTCTTGGATGGAGTTGTTTATGCAGTGGTTAGATACATGTAAAGAGTATTATGTTTTCAAATATCAGTTTATCAGAAAAGACAATTGTCACAGATGCTGTAAATGCTCACACAGTTTGTGGGAGCTGTCAACCAAGTAGGGATGATTAGAAAGCGTCATCATCTGAGTCATCACTCTTGGGTTTGGTCAGTCTTTCCAGCTCCTCTCCATCCTAAAATGAAACATATGAAATGAATAATCAGTTGAATTAGAAATGTTTCACTTTCAACAATTACTAATGGAATGTCTTACTAAATACATAAATCAAAGGTAACTGTGAATATAATCTGGTCAAATAAGAGTCGAAATGCTAGTTAGAAGCACATGAGATAAACAAAAGGGGAGGGCAGAGAGACAGCTCAGAGGTTAAGAGCACTTATTGCTCTTACAGAGGACCTGGTTTGGTTCCCAGCATCCACATGGTAGGTCTCAACTATCTGTGGCTAACTCCAGCTCCCCAAGGATCTGATGTCTTCTTAGCACTGGGCACAACGCATGAAAATGTCATACATACGTGAAAGCAAAACACTCATACACGTACAATAATATAAATCTAAACAGTTTTAAAAGTGAAGTCCATTTAACTCTGGCCAAGAGCACCACCTGCTGGCCTTGTGGGGAAGCGATTAAAGGATGGTGAATGCCACAAAGGATTCTTGGTACCTAATATGATTTTATTTTCCTTAAAAATTAAGGCAAGCAAGTCATTATCAGCCCACTAGAAAGAACAAGGAACTTGCCTGAGTGTGCACTCTTGCTGACTCAGGAGTTTGAGATGCATGGTCTTTTTTTGTTGTTTGTTATTATTAAAATCTGTTGTACTAGTAACTCAGAGATACAACACCTGGAGATTTTCTATGACAGATTTTCCTAAGAGTAAAATGGGCTCATGATGTGAAATTGTTCATCTCTGTGTTAATACAAATTATAAATTCAGAATAACTGGGTGATTTATTTGAATATATGACAAATACATTTTGTATGATTAAGTTTTTGTTAGAAAGCATTTTCTTAGTGAAATAAACAGATAACTACAGGGAGGATTAAGGCACTGGCTGTTCCAGTTCACACAGTTATTCAGTGTAAAAGATTGACTACTTCTCCCCAGCCACTGTGCAGTGGAAAAAGCAAGGAAGCAGGAGTCAGACCACACAGCTCCATTATCATTCTTTTGCCTACTGTCTATTCACTGGTTAGCTTGCTCTCTAACCATAAATGTAGGGGAGACAGGATGAGACAAGGAATGAGTACCTCTGTGATCTGCAGCTCTCTGTGATACAATTACATAGTTAACACACAAAGTCCTTGAGGCACTATGGTTTATACAGCCCTTGCCAGCTCCAGAAGTCCACTGCATGACTTGCATAAGTTATATAGATCTAACACACTTTTATGATAAACTGATGCTGATTCTCTTTCTTGAGTAAATATTTTTTTAAATTTAAGAATAAACAGAAAGTGTATTTACACCGACTTACCCCACTGGAACGCTCCCAAAGATTGCCACTTAGATCCCGGATCCTTTCTTGCCTAGGCGCACACTCTAGATTCTGAGGCTTGCTAGCATTATAAATAAATATGGAGAGGAAGACTGTTGGGGCTTCTAGGAAAAATTCCAGGGAGGGCCTGAAATCAAAGACTAGGACAGACACTGTTGTGATGATGACAGTTGTCACCTGGGCCATCAAGACATGGAACATGTTATCTAAGAATTTCAAGATAAAAGCCACTGAAAGGCCCTGGAAGGCAGTTACGAAAATAAGGGCCAGTGAAAATGTATTGTGGCCATAAAAAAACCCACAGTTCTGAATCTGGTCACGGTTACTGCTCTGAAGGACCAGGGTCAGCCCATTAAAAACAATGCTAAAGAAATAAAGCTTGCTATTCTGTATGAAGATGCTCTCGGTGAGCTGTGGCCCCTCCTTCAGGATCTTCTCATTATAGATATTGGCCATTGAAGAAATAAAGCACTGAACTATAATTAGCATGTGGCCCAAGCCCAAACGGATGTGACTAAAAACTCTGGCTGTGGTGTTCCAGTTGACATCGGTGAAAGTCCACTCCCTGGTTGTACAATTGTCTCTTTGGGAGCATTCTCTTCTAAAATGAAGGCAGGAATTGGATGGGGTAAAGAAGGAATCGTGATGAAACCCATGTCCTGCCAAGTTATGCTGCGAAGTTTTGGTACTGGCAGTGAGGGCGACGATAGACAAAAACAGAATCAGGAGGGAAGCCCACTGTATCCAGTTCAGATGCCGCCTATCCAAAAAGAGGGAAGAAACAAGATTTTACCACCTATTTTTCCCAGCGTCTTTCCCCCTGTTAACTGTTCTACAGAAAAATTCAGAAGCCTGAATACTTGGTTTAATAAACGACACCCAGTTGCTAGCATTCCCCATAATTCGGGTGCAGGGTAAACTTGTTTGGCTCATGTTTCAAACCTCATCTCTCTATTCACTTTCAGAATGCTATAGGGACAATCTTAACTTCTCTTCCTACAGATTTGCTTTGTATGTGCACGTGTAGCCTAGCCTCCTGTCTTCCAAAGCTATCTTTGACCCCTGGTACTGTGATTTTTATTGTGATTGTTGTGCCCAAGTCAATGAAGATCCCCAAAGAGACCACCATGGAGACAGACCACCTATGCAAATGCACAACGTTTATTGATTGCTCTATCCTACTGCAGGAGGGACCCTGCAAGCTGATGTAGCAGCCTCCAGAGGGAGTGTCCTCTTGGTCTATTGCTGTGTTTTTTAAAAGGAAAAACTGCAGAGTTACATTAGCTGGAGGGGAGATGAGGGGAGCAGGTCAGCTCCCGATGGGTTGACATTTGGGAAACAATCAAGAAATTTTTCAAAGTCGTGTTTTTGGCATGTAATACCTGTGTACACATTATTCTCACAGGTCGGCTGGGAGGGAACATTCTGTGGTTTCTATGGCTTGCAGGTGGCCCAATGTACCAATATTTTCCAGAACTGAATTTCTTGGAAACTACAGGGGAGTTTCTTTTGCAGTCAAACAGTCCCCAGGATCCAAGGGGGGGAAGGGGGGAGTCTGGAGTTCCTTTGTGTTCAGCTTTGGCCCTAGGCCTGTTGCATGCAACACAGTTTCTAGGAGCTAAGACTGGGGGAAGAGTTGATCTGGAGTTTCAGCTCTTCAGTGATAAGCAGAAAACTGTGATAGAAGATCTTAGCTCAGTTTCCAAGAATGAGAAAAAGCAGTATGGATACGCTTTAGTAATCAATGTAGATAAATTTTCCCAAGGGATACTAGACTTTTCTCAAAGAACTTCATGATACATGCTCCTGGGTCAAGGGCCTAATAATAAGCCACCACACAACAAAGTACTGGATAATAAGGAAGAGAAAAATTTATATTTGGGTAATATTTCCCTTATAAAGCCTACCCAAGCTTACTTCCTCCTGATAGTAAAGCTGTGAAGACATGTACTATTCTACTTGTCCATTTACTCAGTTCAAAGACATGTAATAACCAAGCAAGCTGAGGCCTGGCAGTGATGCTCATGCCCTTAATGCCAGCACTCGGGAGGAAGAGGCAGGCAGATCTCTGTGAGTTCAGCCTGGTCTACAAGAGCTAGTTCCAGGACAGGCTCGAAAAACCAAACCAAACCAAACAAAAAACCCAAAACACAAAAACATGCAAACTGGACTGATAAAGATTTGACACCCCCTCCCCTCCCCTGCTCCTGAGGGAGCTAAATGCTGTGAGACACATGATCCACATGGGTATACTGAGGAGAGGCACTTGCAGAGGCTAAGTAAGGCTGAGAAGCATCTATACAAAGGCAACAAAGAAGAAGATGTATCTCTCTCTCAGGCTAGGGCAATCTGCAAGACCCCTGAGAAGAAATAAGAAACCTCGATGTCTGAAAACCTAGTAGTCAGGAGAAGATGGGAAAAATTAAGCAAAAGCGGAAGTGTAAAAGTGAGAACTGGAGGTGATAAGAATGTTATCATTAGAGTGTACAGAGAACCTAGGGCATGCAGGCGATTCCTGCTGTAAGCGTTTTTTTTTTTTTTTTTTAAATGACCTTTTTTTACAGCTTTTTATTGATGAAAGTGGAGGAATCTTATAGTTAGTAGATAAAATATTACTGATCAGTTTTATTCTTTGCCCTAAAATCTCAATCTCCAAGTAGTGCTGTTTCCCAGAGTCAAGCAAACACAACTACATAACTATGCTAAGGTAAGAGCAAACAGTGAGGAGGGCTTTGGGGCGTTATGCCTGCCATCAGTTCCCACTGTGAACTAATGGCTACACTTCCACAGAATACATCTGGGCAGCAGGATGCTCAGGCAGTAAACTGGCTGGCTACACAAGCTTGACAACCTGAGTTGATTATGTGACCTCACAGCAGGAGACAAAGAAAAACACACAATTCCTGAGAGTTGTCCTCTCATCTCCACATGAGTGCTGTGGCACCACACAGGCACATCTGCATCTATCATATTCTCCTCCCTCCCTCTCTCTCTCCCTCTCCCCTTCCCAACCCCCCCCCCCCAATTAGGTTTACACAGGATCCTGCAGAAAAGAAACAAAGTTTCCTGGTGAGTACGGGCTGATTTCTCCATGTTCCATGAGGGAAGTACATGGTGTATTCAGCAGTAGTCTTACTCAAGTTCTGGAGGGATAATCGAGCACTGGCAACGCCTGTAATGGCTGGGGGATGTGCTCCTTTGCTTTCTATGCTATGATAAACACAGAAACCAAAAGGAAGTTGGGGAGGGATGGGTTTATTTGTCTTACATAATCATAGTTCCTCACTGAGGGAAGCCCAGGAGGGAACTTAGACAGGCAGGAAGCTAGAGGCAGCGGCTAGAGAGAGACCATGGAGGAAGACTGCTTACTGGCTTGTTCTCCAGGGCTTGCTACCATCCAGGACCACCTGCCAAAGAGTAGCCTTGCTGGCAGTGAGCTGGGCCCTGCCACTCCCACATTAATCAAAAAACAGAGGTTATCACTGGCCAAGAACTCAAAAGAGATAACCCATTCCTGGCACTTGCCTTTTTGATAGCATGGAGTATCTAGTGGGGGTACTGTCACAATGCAGAGTAACCCTATCTAGACTCATTTATTTGCTTATAGGTCTATATTTCAGGAAGCTTCTACAGTAGTTTCCAAATGACTTTCTTGAAAGGTCTTTGGTGTTTGTTATCCTGCCCCATAGTCACTCCTCTAACAGGTCCTCCAATTCTCTGCCCCACTTAACCCTTTCTGTTCCATTATTCATCTTTAACTCTGTGTTCTATCTTTTCTTCCTTGAGCCCCCTTTCATCCCCTCCCAAGGCTCTGTGCTCGTTCCTGACCACCATGCAAGCTTTATACTGGCTAGCTTCCATAGTGCTCGAAGGTGTTGTGCATGCTGTCAGAGAAAGAAAGTTATCGTCAACCTTACCCAGCTGTGAACCGTTAGAAATACAGTAACTATCAGCTTGACAACACATGCTCACTGATACAGTAGTGGCACAAATGTCACCGAGGTCACAGCCTCTTCTGATTGGACTGAAGGCCCATTCCCCAGCTTGAGACCCATACCTGACACTGTTGTTAGTGTTGAGAACCTGTGGCTAGAAAGGTCATAGGCCCTGGAGGAGAACCTGTTGTTACACGGGCTCAAGACTAACCTGACTCCTAATGACGGATCATCACCCAGCCCCACTAGATTATTGTCTCTCTGAACCCTCATTAGAGAAGTGGTTCTCTGCACTAGATGGTGATTAACACAAAGACTCACAAGTGGTCAAAGTTCAGAGAATAAGAGATTGCCTGTGGAATGCTCAGTTCTAAATGTGACACTTATACCACAATATTTCCTCCCAAGGTTTAGGGCTGACAGGGGCAGAGGTAGCAGAAAGAATTTGAGAACCAGAGGTGGTAGATCATTTCAGGGAAGCAGTGTTTTCTGGACACAGCAGGGCAACTGCACATAGGAACTCACAGCAATTGTGATAGCATACAGAGGATCTATGCATGCTCAAGCCAGAAAAATATTCCAGTATGAAGTCCCATCCCACATAAGGAACTGTTAATAACTGACAGCTGCTAGGAGAGGGAGAATTAGTATCCTTTAAGGGTGCAGCCCCTGGCAGATTATGTGTGGCTAATAATCCTAGCATTTAGGAGGCTGAAGCAGAGGAATCATGAATTCAAGCTTATCCTGGGGTACAAAGTAAGATCTTGTTACAGAACAAGCATTTTTTTAAAAAAACACTAAAATTGAAAATAGTAATCAAATAGTAATCAAATAGCTTACTTTTGAAAAGTTCAAGATATTACATATACCTTATGGCAGAGGATTTAAACATCCCCTACAGTTGCTTTTCACATTGGATAAACAAGGGATCTAATACACAAGGCTAATTAGAAATAAAATCTAGGCCTAGAGGTTTTGAGGGCTTAGCATTCTGGGTAAATTATCTACCCAAACTGGCCCATATTAAAGGATGATGTAGGCTTCAGCACTGAATGACTTACCTCAGCACTATCCTGAATAGAAGAGCTGTTGTTATAATGCTAAAATTTGAGAAGATAACAGCCATGGCCTAGAAAGAAAGAGAAGCTAGAATTACAATCCAGGCAAAGCACTGACCTCAGAACGTCCCAGCTTGCCAGTTCACCTGACACAAAAAGCCTTTTAGTCACAAAGCAGGGGGTTATTAGGGCAGCTGTTTCACTGGGGGATTCAATTCCATTTTTATTGCTTGCTAAATGTATGCAGATATGAGCAAGTTATTGTCAGGACTGGGCAATATATGTTTAAGTTTTGTCTTATGCAGTTTATGCCTACATAAATGACCTATGGGAAGCACCTCACCACCTCACCACCTTACTACAGCCTCTTACAGCTATTCAGTATTGGCTTTATAGGCAAAGAGAAGGGAAAATGTTAGGCCTAGTTATATGGTGTGGTAGTTTAACATAATTGGCCCCCATAATCTCATAGGAAGTGGCCCTATTAGGAGATGTGGCTTTGTGGGAGTGATTGTAGCCTTGCTGGAGGAACTGTGTCACTGTGGAGGCAGGCTTTGAGATTTCCTATACTCAGGATACTGCCAAGTGTCTCAGTCAACTTCCCATGGCCTACAAGATGTTGAACTCTTAGCTACGTCTCCAGCACTATGTCTGCCTGCATGATGCCATGCTCCCCGTCATGATAATGGGCTAACCCTCTGAAACTGTAAGCTAGCCACTCCAATTAAATGTTTCCTTTATAAGAGTTGCCACAGTTACCGGTGTCTTTTCACAGCAACAGAAACCCTAACTAAGTCATATGGTAAGAAAATACAGGCACATCTTCAACCATTTTTGTTATTTTAGACACTGAATCAGTTTTCCAGTTGAAATGACATGACCTGAAACATAGTCCATATTAGATAGTCCTCTGAATTGATCTGAATTACTCTAAACACTTAGAAACGTACTGCCTAGTTTTTACAGCAGTTTGTTTTTGTGAAGTTATATTTTGGTTTAAATTGAACACCACACACACACACACACACACACACACACACACACACACGTATTTCTCAGAATACATGAAATTCTACCATTGTTCCCTATACTGGATCTGGCAGTACTTGTTAGTATTCAGGCATCTGTACTGGCCTATCCTTGAGGTTCTGACAGGATACGCTCTCAGCTGCAGCCACTAAAAGCACCATCCTCCCTCCCTCCCTCCCTCCCTCTCTCCTTTCTACTGTTGCTCCTGTCTCTGGAGGCTGGTCCCCCCCTTCCCTTTCTCCCTTTTTATGATCCCTTTTCCTAGTTAAAAAACCCTCTGCTTGAACCTTGTCACATGGCATCTTTCTCTCAAGAGCCACTTTTCTTAAATTACAGCGATGCTAAAATTTTTTTTAGACAACAATCATGTGATACAATTCACTTTTGTTTACTTCTTGCTATCACGTTAGGGTGAATATCCAGAGAAACCAGGTATGCTGTCATCTGGCTGTGGTTTTTGTACTGGGAAAGCTAACACTAGACGAGGATTTTTAGCTCCTGTTTAGTGTGAGACATGGTGAAACTGTGCACTGAGAAATCAAATTAACAAACAACTGAAACTATCAAGTTTTATACAACCACTAACAGCAAACACAGCTATAATTCAGTTAAAGAAAAAAAGTGAAATTGAGTAAAACCAGTAGTAATTCTAAGAATATAATGTTTTTTCCATTGAATTTTCTAGTAAGAATTAGACACACAATCATATATGTTCACTGGTCATAAAAAGTAGCAATTTACAACATATACATAATGTCTGATGATTGGATCAGGGTAATCAATGTTTCTATCTTCCCAGTCACAGATTATTTGTCTGTGTGGGAGACTGAATTTATTTTCTCAGAGTACCTCACTGTAACACAAATGCTTGTGAGCTTCAGGCTAAGAGCAGAGGAAGGGATGATGAGGAAAGTGGCCCTGAGAGATCACATTAAGAGCAAGATAAACACACATAACTAATAAGTCTGGCTGATTGGACAGATTCTGAACACACTTCCCATGTTAATACTAGAGAATAAAGCTAATAATTCTTTGTCCTAAAACTTCTATGTACCTTTACTTAATTCCTTAAGTAGAACTAGGCAAGTAATACATAGAGTAAAACAGAATTTGTTTCATAATATTTGTTGTTGCAGCTGATCAGGAAGACTCAAACAGTAAATAGGGAAGAAAAATAAGGAAGTTTCAATTTTGCTTAATACTGGGAGGAAGGGTATAAATGTATAGCTAGTCTGTTGGTTTCAACTAAAATAGAAGTAATATTTATTATTGAATGTTAATAATCATGCTGTTGTGGTAGGAATATCTGAAAAAGTGGAAAGAATTTAGGAGAAGGCATGTTACAGGAACCAAACACTTACTATCATTACAAATCACAAACCTGACAGGAACTCAGGTGTTCAGTTGGCCTAAGCACCTGCCTTTGAGCTGGTTTAGCATTTTTTTCTTATGTTTTATGGGTAGAATAAATTTAAACTGAGAACAGACAGGGCATTCCCAGTTACAAAGATTACCTACCATAAGTGAGAAAGTGCCAAGCTCTTGTTCCTCCTATATGTTATTGCTCCCTCCCTATTACCCATTTCTAAAGTAGATCTGGGAGGTTTCATGTAAAGGATCAGTGCCAATAAAAATACTATTTATAATTAAAGTGTTTAATTTTATTATTTTTTAAAAAAACTTAAAACACAACATAGGCAATAAAAACCCTCACCTTAAAAAAAATTGGGGGAGGGGAGCAGTGGAATCCAAACTGACTACAAGTAAAAGAGAAAGCAGATTTTTTTTTTTTTTTTAAGCCCTGGCTGCCCTGGAACTCACTATGTAAACTAGACTGGCCTCAAAGTTTCAGAGATCTGCCTGTCTCTGCCTCCAGGGTGCTAGGATTGAAGGCATGAGTTAGCACCCAAGCCTAGGATTGTGATTGAGGTAATTGTGATTACCAATGTCTTTCCAAATTGTTAAAAAAAATGTATCAGATGTGAATTCCTAGTATTATCAGTTGAATTTATATAGTTCCATACTCGTGAGGAATCTGTAGATAAGACTGACACAAAAAGGGGCCAATACAACGGCTCAGTGGGTAAAGGTGCTTAGATCCAGGTCTGATGACCTGAGTTTGATCTTGGGACCATATAGTGGAAGGAGAGAACCAACATCTCTACAAGGTGTTCTCTGACCTCCACTTCTGTGCTATGGCATGTACGTATACATACGCACAAACACATACATAAATGTAACAAAAAATAAAAGTCATATAGTAAATATGGATATAATACATACAAGTAGTAAATGAATAAACTACATTAAAATAGATAAAGCAAAGTGAGGTCTATTAACCATGTTATTTTTTTGAATTAATACTGGAAATCTCAGCAGAGGTCTTGAATGGTCACGAGACAGCTCAAACAAAAGGTAGACTGATCCTTTACACAAATCAAGGTGGTTTCTGAGCCCTTGTGCCTGGGAGCAAGTCCCCCCAGTAGCCAGTAAAGGAATTATTAACAATGTGAAGATCTGGCATAGACCAGATGGTTCTAGAAAACTGTGGGGAAGGCCAGGGAAAATGAGAAAAAGGAAGTCAGTTTGGAGACTCATCGCTGTGTCTTCTCAATGGCACTTCCTCTGTTACAGTTTTACTTACAGGCTGAAGATAGGAAAGGACATAGAAGACAATCAAGTTATCCAGGAAGTAGAGAAAGGCAGGAATGGACCACTTCATGAAACTTGAGAATTCCTTCCAGGAAGTACATCTCAAATGTCTACTTTGATGATCCTCTGAAGAAAGAAATACATGAATCATACAAAGCAGTAAACAAATCATCTTTATTGAGAATGTTTGTTTTCAATGAAACTACTCTAAACTTGATTACTAGTACAATTCTTTAAAAATGGGCTTAATTAAATTGCTAAATGATTATAAGCCTACAGAAGTAAAAGATAATTTGGCATTTATTAGTATCTCTTTCTTTTCCTACCTGTGTGTCAAAGAGCAACCAGCCAGACCCTTAGTAAAAGAGAATCATAATTGCTACTAATTCAGAACACAAGTATCACTTAAGGTGACTCCAAACAGACTTGTTTCTTCACTTCTCTGCTGGTACAACCAAGAGAACAGGTCAGAGTGAGTAGATCAGAACAATGAAGCCTTTATGTTTTCAGTTTCCCCTCAAGGGGTGATCAGAGAAGGGAACTAATAAGTGAAAATTTATATGCATGGACTATGAGATGGCTAACTTTTACAAATCCTCATTTTAGTTATTATTGCAGCTCCAGACTTCCAAAGACTTAGGAAGGCATACTGTAATAGAGATAAAATGGAAAGAAAGGAAGGAAGGAAGGAAGGAAGGAAGGAAGGAAGGAAGGAAGGTAGGAAGGAAAAGAGCAGTTTAAATTTAAGCCCTTCAAGCAATGCACAAGTTCCATGAAATTATGAGATGTACTCAACTATCTAGAAACTCATCACAGACTGAAACAGTTTGGAATGAAAAAGACTTCCTGTGCAAGTACTTTAATGTTCCAAAAGCTTTGTTTACCTCACACAAGAATAAAGAGTATAAAGATAGCGTCAAAGCCTGTAACTGGGAAACTGAGATGGAAAATTAATAAAAACCCACTGAATGAAACCATTCCCAGGGACAAGTGATGAGGTAGAACAACGGGCAGGGCACTGGGAAATAAATAGAAAATCTACTTCCCCTTTACAACTCTTTATTGGCATTTTCTTTGATCCTGTTTCCCTACCTATAAAACATACTTATTCTTGGACTAACGTAAATGATATAAATGTTATGCCAGTTCCAATGATTTTTGACAGTGTGATTTAATAAATGTAAGTATCTTAATAATTACCTTTCTTTATAACACAGACTGACACAAATACACAGAGAATCAGCTTCATCAGCTCTGAGCATACGTTCACAGTAGTAGGGAGATAGTCATACTTGTTCTCTGAAATGTAACAGGAAAATTTAAAACTATCAAGTTTATTCTGCAAGTTTTTACATGTAATTAATAATTTAAAATTTTTCACATGTATGCCCCTACAAACATTATATATACACGTGTACACATGCACTCATATGAAGAGTTACAAGCAAATCATTTTTAAATTTAAAAATTAAACTTAATACTCATTAACTGTCTTCTGGCTGGTACAGTTTTTCTAAATCTTTGAGTAAGTATTCTGGGAGGTTAAGATCAAGGGCAAAGGAAGCTCCATGGGAAAGAGGCAGAGACTGAGCCTGGCGTTGGTGACTCATACCATTAATCCCAGCACTCGGGGAGACAGAGGCAGGCAGATCTCTGTGAGTTCAAGGCCAGCCTGGTCTGCAGAGCAAGTTCCAGGACAACCTCCAAAGCCAGACAGAGAAACCCTGTCGCGAGAAAAAAAAAAAGAGAGAGAGAGAGAGAGACAGACAGAGAGACAGAGAGGAGCAGAGACTGACTTCTAAAGAGATAATTACTATTCAGTATCTGACTCATCAAAAATTATCAGCTGAATTAGTCCTCAGTTTATGATTCATTAAACCTGACTTGCTTGCCGTACAAAAATCACGGTATACCTTGCTTATGGCACTTCTTTAACTCAAGATTTTTCCAACCTGATTCATATCATAGCATATATAGGAACAATGGTTCCCCTGCCTCTGGTAAAGAAAAAAGCTATCTGACAAAGGACTCTGCTACTTTTAGAGCTAAGAGGAAGTGACTCTGGGTCACAGACACCCATTAATGAATCAAAAAGTATAGCCTAGGAAATAGGTCAACTGAGTTAAGAATGAGGTTTGGTAAGCATGCCTTGGTCTTAGTTATTACTTGTCTTTTCTAAATGCTTAACAACAACTTGCTTTATATTAGAGGCAAGGACAAATGGAAACTTTATTAACTACTTTAAGGAATGCATTGCCCCCCACTTTGCAAACATTTGGCTGCTTCTTTTATTCATATTAAAACTTGACCAACACTGGGGTTGGTGGGTGCCAACTTAAACTTCTCTCTCCAGGATACTTTCTCCCTCTTTTCTGCAGACTGTCTTGAACATTCAACATTCAACATGTTGAATGGTCACTGTCTTATACGTGGCATTTAATAAATGCCCACCTGAATTTAAGTATTTGCTTGTTCAAGTATGCTCACCATTCAAAGCCTAGTTCAAATACCCCCCCCTTTTCTCTGTACAAAGGTAGGATTAAATCATATTGCTACCCTCAACAGATACTTTTCATAATCTTTATCATGACATACAAACCAGTCAACTAAAATATTACACAAGGAAGTCTGTAGGGACTGGGTCTCTTTAAAGAGCCATCTCTTTAGCCTTAAGCATGTTTTATCTCTTTTTGCTCATACCCCTGAGGAATTTCTAGATTAGATTAGCCTCTGAGCATGCCCATGAGGGGATTATGTAGATTAGATTAGTTGATGTGAGAAGATTGACCTTAACTGTGGGCAGCAGCATTCTCTAGGCTGGGATCTTACACGATATGAGGTGAAATTAAGTTGAATGTAATATTTTTATTTTTAAATATTTTTCCTTTATGTTATGTGAATGGGTGTTTTGTCTACATGTTCATCTGTACACCATGGAGGTCAGTTGAGGGCTTCATATGTCATACTAAATTGCTTGGGCTAAAGTTCCAGAGTCTAGGAGAATAAGAAATTATTTGAAGGATTATAGCTAGGTGGCAGAAGAATATTAAGAGAGTATTATTAAGAGAGTATTGTTATTTAAGTAGGGGAGTACATTTCAACTCCCTGGGACTGCAGGTACAATCAGTTCTGAGTTGCCATACGGATGCTGGGAACTGAACCTACATCCTCTGAAAAGAGCAGCCAGCATTCTTTACTGCTGAGCCATCTCTTTAGCCTCAAGCATGTTTTATCTCTTTTTGCCTGATGCCTGTGGATGCCACGTAACTGCTACAAACTTCTGCTGCCATGACCTCCCTGGCATGATGGACTTTACTCTCAAACAGTAAGCCAAAAGAACCCTTTCCTTCCTTAACTTGCTTTGCTCAGAGCTATGAGGAAAGAAACTGAAGAGAAAGATATATTAAAAGCTAGG